TAGCAGCCAGAACCGTGTTCACGAGAGAACATGCGGGGGCTTCTCCCGACCTGCAGGTGGGCTATACCGGATAGGGACAGCCGGTAGCATGAGGGACCATACCAACAGGACAAATCCCTGTGCCTCCCCTCGGGCACCCTCCCCTACGAACATCAGCAGACGCGGCTCAATGCAGGTCGGGGGATCCAGTGGTCTATCTGGGGATCCAGTGGTCTATCTGGGCCTGCAAATGCGCTGAAGGCCACAAGAAAACAATCGGGTGTGGCCCTCCTTTTTGCTGGTGCCGCCAGCCATTTTGCTCCAGGGGCTTTTGCTGGTGCCGCCAGCCATTTTGCTCCAGAGGCCGAGCCCCGAAAGCTGCGCTGTGGTAGATGAGCCGCACAAATTTTGCTGGCGCCGCCAGCCATTTTGCTCCAGAGGCCTAGCCCTGAAAGTTGCGCTGGTATACCAGCGGCACATTTGTTTTCATAGCGGGAAATGTACTGGTGGTTTAAACCACCAGTATCTTCGGTGGCACCTTTCCCGTATATCAGCTGCAGAAAAAGGTAAGAGTAGAGTAGAAGCGTTTCTAGTCGGATGAATTTGGCACTCCTGTGGTGGCCCGTTAGTTCATAATTGTTGCGGAGGTACTGGTGGTTTAAACCACCAGTCCCCCCGCCGGCTGAAAATGAGCATTCCGGTGAGTTAGGGCCGAATTTGGCGGGGGCGCCGACCGACACGCAACGGGTCCAGTCACCCACTTTCCAAGCACCAACTTTGGCGACTTTTTGCGCCTTGAATAATCCACAAAAAAATCTGAAATTTTGAGATCCGGTAGATTAGGTCGTGATCTTTCCAGGAAAAATATCAAAACTAAAAAATAAAAAATGTTTAGATAGTGAAATTATTGCTGCGCTTTCCATTTTTGCCACTCCGCCAGCTTTCGCCCAACGGAAAAGTACCTCAACTTCCGTGATTTAAAGTACCTCAACTTCCGTGATTTTTCGCGATCAGACCGATTCGAAAAAAAAATCTGAAAATTGGTGTCCCAGTAGATTACGTCGTGATCTTTTCAGGAAAAATATCAAAAAAATTAAAAAAAAAGTTTTAGGTAGTGAAATGACCGTCGCGCCGATTCGGTGCGTTTTCCATTTTTGCCACTGAGCTGGTTCTCCACACGGTCCTACCGGTAGCCCTCATTCGTGTGTGCTACCGGTCCTCCCGATTTTTCAATGTCGGCAGGACTGGTGGTTTAAGACAGCAGTTCACTCACGAGGCTGAGTTGGTGAAGCTACCTCCCACGGCTTGCAATACTGCAACTGCACCTTTTTAAAGTGGCCTGCCGCGTCTTGATACAGGCCCAGGCCCGATCTTTAAGTGCTCTTATTGCGTATGCTGGCAAGAGCACTGCAAGAGCACTACTTAGGCCTGGACCCCACTGGTTCCCGGAAATGAAAAACTTTCCTGCAGAACATTTCCGGCACTCCACAGTCCTCTGGGGAGTCCTTGGAAGGGTGTGTTTTTATGAGAAAGAATGGTTTTCTGGGACCCCACAACCCGAATTTTGTGGCGAGGAAAATTGGAATTTTCTGTTTTCACACGGTTTCCGGCCTGGAAAAGTATCGCCCGAGTGATTCCCGCCGTGACTTGTGCCGACTGCAGAGGGTAGGGGGGGGGGGGTGGCATCTCCAATCTTTCCAAGGTCATATCTCCAGGCCAGACTTCCCATTCTCCACTTTGCACCTGAAGATAGAACCTGTAGAGGGTAGGGGGGGGGTGGCATCTTGAATCTTTCCAAAGTTGCGTCTCCAGGCCGGACTTCCCATTCGCCACTTTGCACCCGAAGATAGAAACTGTCCTCGCAAGAGCACTCGGATAATGCCCCACTTTCCTTTTCGGGTTCAATTGCAGGCCACGTTTCCTTTTATGGAAAAAGAAGCTCTCGCTTTACTGCAAAACGCACTCTCTTGTGGGTTCCCCGCAAAATCGTTTCCAGACTTTCCAAAAATCTTCGACCGCTTTTCGTGGCCAAACTCCTTTTCCGTCCGCAAAGCTGTGGGATCCGGCCTTAGGTCTGTGTGAATTGCTGGTTTAAACAACCAGTGCTTCTGGAAGTCGCAGCCAAAAAGAAGGTATAAGGTACTGGGATGGTTGGGCCTGAGGCGCTGGTATACATTCATTCAAGTGGAAACGTCGCGGCTTTTTTTTTGGCTGGCTGGTGGTTCTTACGACCACTCTGCCCGATGTTGAAAATTTGGGGGACTGGTAGCACAGGTTCATAAGGGCTACCTGTAGCACAGTGTGGAGAACAGGCAGAAAGGTGAAAATGGAAAATGGTACAGATTGCTGCCACAAGGCCCACAACTTATTTCATGGTTGGAAGGATTTTGTAAAATAAATTTGTAAGTATTTTTCTTGGACAGATCACGCCCAAATCTGTGGACCCTCCAATTTTCAGAATTTTTATTCTTCTGAGCGTGAAAAATCGCTGAACTGGGGTACTTTCCGGTTTGCCCACGAGTCGTAGATTGGTAAAAATGGAATGGAAGGGAAAATGGAAGGGAAACAGTCAGTAGTCTTGCCAAACTGATGGAGAGCCGTGTCGTGTGCTTGGAAATCTTGCACGCACGGTTCGGAAGGAAGCTTAGTCAGATTACACACACTGCTTACCCTATCTATTGGGTCGTTGGTTCGAATACAACCTAGGGAGCTGTTCTGTGTTCAAATATACGGTCGACTGACATTCTATTCTAATCTAATTTAAT